AGGTATTTTCAACTGTACTTGTTCCCAGGGCATTTGCTTTCTGCAGGTTAGCCCTGGGTTGGGGAATTTGCGCAGAGTTAAAAAGTCGAATATTTGTCGCTCGTTTCCCCATTTAGCCGTATTTTAGTGCGCAACACATGCACGTTTACAAGTCTGTGCATATTGCGAATTAATCATGGCAGACATACACACTTTATACTTTTTTCTTGTCTATACTGTTGATACATTCACTTACTTCTGCAGTTTCATATTTTTATATCAAGTTTTGAGACTTCAATATTTTAATTAAAAACATTTTGAAATGAAATGGCTACAGAAATATCGATTTTAAATATGGATATATTGATACGAGACAGGGAGGAATCCAGCATGATCTGGTAGGGGGGGGGGGTTGCTCTGGTGCCGACTGCCGAGTTGTGTTGGTCATGTGTGCCGCCCACCCATCAACTACTGTATTTGAATTGTAATTGTTGTTCACAGTTCACTTATCATCATGTTATTAGTAACCCCCCTGCACCCCCTTTGGCCAGGGCTAGGGGGGTGCACACTCCCCTCCCCACACCCCCCAGATACGAGATAGAGCCTGCATTCGATTTTTTGGTTCAAAAATCCTCAGAAAGCTTATATTTGTCCCCAAGGGTGAGGCATTTGCGTCAGTGTAAGTCCCCGAGGGTGGGGATTTTGTTGCATTATTTGGACCCCATGGTGGGGCATTTGCAACATTTTTTTGCCAAAATGACAAATGCCTGACAAACACCCGGGGAGGGGGACTGGCACCCATGGAATTGACTGAGACATTAATCACAGACCATCTACGTGTTAATTCAGTCATAAAGTCTGTCTTTATGCCATTTCTGTAGTAATTACAGATTGGAGGCTACTCCTGTCAAATAATTCTGAACAATATATTTTGCCCTTGCCTTATCTCCCCTCCCCCTGTCTGTATGTAGGCAGAGAGTATGTGGGTTTAGATTCCCAAGATGCGAGGAGAAAACAGGGCCGGATTAACCACGTGGCACACATGGTTACTGTGCCGCGCCCATTTTTATGAGAACACGCCTATTTTCTATTGGGACACGCCCATTTTAGGTGCCTCGCGAATTTAGATGCCTCGCGAATTTAGGGACCTCGCGCATTTAGGGACTCTAGGCTTGGCAGTTGACCACAGGAAAATATACAATATTCGTATGCATGTAATCTCCAGTTGCGCTGAGCTGTTATATATGATCCTGTTTATACTTGTTGACCCAACAACTGGGCCTGGCAGGCAATTGTTTGTAATTGATGCCAATCAATTGAAATATTGAAAGCAATTATTTAACAATTTTGTGTGTCTTTGAATTTAAAGGTTTTCAAAATGGGGGGGTTGGGGGCCTCGCGCTAAAATCTGCCACGGGCCTCGCGCGACGTTAATCCGGCCCTGGGAGAAAGGAAGGACTTCCAACAACACATCAAGATATGAAATATGCCCAAGTTTTGCTCTTGTCAAGTTGGCTTCGGCTTTGCATTTACAACAGTTATCCAAATAAATCTATCCAATAGGAACTGCTCATTTAAGCAATTTTGTTTCTTGATGTATTGATGTTGTTTCTCCTGAGGGATGACCACTTGCAGTCTGTATGTCGAGTTTTGAAGCTGAAAGTAATAGTGATTAGTTTGACATGATTTCAAACCTCTCAATTTTAACCCATTGAGTGGCAGCACTATCCCCTTGATTAGTAAAATTGTCTGCCATTAGACGGAGACAAATTATAAAGTAGGGCGCATCAGGGTGTATTGCCACTTAAAGGGTTAACAGGATGAGTGAGTGGCAGCATTTTTCCCTTGACAAGTAAAACCATCTGGCGTTAGACAGAGTAAAATGATAAAGTAGGGAGTGTCAGGGCACATTCCCACTTAGGGTTAATAAATCATTATAGACAATTTAAGAATCACCTGTCAATATTTCACAGCTTTGGTGACAGTAGTTTTTTTTACCCATAATGACAAGCATTATTGACTGTATTTAGTGTTTGTCGACAAAGATTGTGAGAACTGAATTTAGACCAAAAGAAGTTAGAACAACAAATGTGATCAAACGTTCCTTAATAAGACTAAAACCTGGTACTACAGTATATACAGTATTCCACAATTTTTAAAATTTGTTTATAATAACGAAATTTAGCCTCGGCCATTTTCTCATCATACGCAAGTTGCACCATTGTCTGATGCAGAACGAGAGAAGATTTATTCTTGGATTATCGAGCTCTCTAATGCAGAAACTAGAGAACATGCACTTCTGGAATTAAGGTAAAATTTAAGACCTGTTTACACAATTGCACTTGCAATTTTTGCCATGATTTTTAGTGTGAATTTCTTCTGAATCAGATGCATTTGAACATTGGATGAATTATGAATATTATTTCTTAAATATGTTGTGTCCTCTTGTCTGAACATTGATATCTCATCCACTCGTTCACATCCTTCAGAAGAAGAAAATCTCACCTAAAATTGCAGTGTAAACAAGCCTTTACATATATTCAAATATATCCTTATTGAAACCAAGTTAGAAGATGGGCAACCTCGTTCCCAGGCTCTTTGCTCTTGGGAAGCAAAGACCCTGGTCGGGGCTTATGACGTCACACACACAAAATTGATAGCTGAAGGGGGGATGGAAAAGTCTCATATTACATGTTTCCACTTCCGCACTTCGATTGCAAGGAGTGGCCGTTCTGTACAATCATCTAATTCATCTTCAAGAATCATATATACCTCAAACTACTTGCTGAATTGGTTTCTGTTTGCTTTGAAATTATACAAACATGCTAAAATGTAGATTCTTATAGCAACAAAAAATTCAGGAAATCAAGCAACGAGAACGTATGGCTGTACGCTTTGAAATATTTTTATTTTCTCGGACTTCGCCGGTTCGGGCGTAGTTTCATTTCACGCGTACGTTTCTGTTCTGGCTCTGATATTTATAATATGCTTATAATATGCCAATGAATTGTTCTGATATGGACACGGTATAAATGTTTTAAACAGATGTCTCAAAAGCGACTGTTTATAGGTCGTAGGATTAGCGCCTTGCCGGTGTCACAGGAGATTCGCCCCCCCAGGAGATTCGCCCCCCCTCTCAAAAGGGGGGCGATATTCCTAGGATATTCGCCCCCCCGGGGCGAATCTCCTAGGAATATCGCCCCCAGGGGGGCGAATCTCCTAGGAATATCGCCCCCCTTTAGGAATTTCGCCCCCCCCATATAAATTTTGAATTTTTGATCTAAAAACAAAACGATTGCAAGTTGAAAAGATTTATTGTGTGATTTATTTATTTATTACAAGGAGACAAAATTACATACACATTTTAGGCTTCTTAGCAGCTGGTGGTGTACACAGTCTGCATAACCACTCATTTGAGGTACTTAGACTAGTGTCATATTCTACACATCTAAAGTGGAACCATCACAGAGATCGCATAAAATCATGTTGTCGTATTCTTCTGGCAGTTTACATTCACATAACATATTATAAAAACAATCGCTTGCAAATTTTATCAATACGAGTGTTAACAATAGCCGCCACAGTAATCACTTGCTAACAATAAACTATAGGATTAGTAAAAAATCTATGGAATGTGTTGGGAAGCGTATTGACTATTGTCCGTTGAATCGTCAACTTTCCGTGTCAGTGACGTAATCTTGATTCTTCACTTCCGCAAAGAAAATTGTATATGTGGTGTGGTTTATTCAAATAATTTCATATTCAAATAATTTCAAATAATTTCAAGCTCTGTCTTAACAATGATTAAAGCCATGTAATAATTATCCCATGCAACTGTTAGGAAGGGCGAAATTTTGAACTGAGGACGAATTACGACGAAAATCCTAAAGAAAAGGTGAAGTTTCTAAAGGGGGGCGAATTTCCTAAAGGGGGGCGAAATTCCTAGGACACCGGGACCATTTCGTTTCGGTCATAGAATTATTTATAATAGATGTTTACATCAGACCGGGACGAAAATAACTCAGACCGTTCTCAAGTCATTCCCTTCCGCCTGCTGGACCGAGCCGATTGACTTCAGACCGAGATGAATGTAAACACAAATACATTTCAGACCGGTCTCGGCTGTAACCTTGACATTGGAACAATATATGTTAACAAAAGCCATCTAAAGGAGAAAGTTGCCTGGCAAGGGGAATACATTAAAATTTTGTGACTTTCGTACCGTACTACCGGTCTCATGCTGACAATTATTATAAGTAAACGCATGATTTGAGGGAAATTAGTGATTAAATGTCCCCGCAAACCGAAGGAGGTTTAGTAAAAGCGCCCGAGGGAGTTTTACTAAACCTCCCGGTCATTTAATCACTATTCGCTCAAAGAATGCGTTTAGTTTGTAAATACATGGTAGCCGAGGGAATCGCGTGTGGTGTGTTGCCTGTTTTGAATGCTGTTTGATTGTCTTATGAGTACGAACACTTTTCATATATACGCACGCGCAGAAACACATCTCCGTGTTCATTCATTTTAGGCATAAACGGAATTTTCTCCCACAATTGAAATGTTCAAGATTAAGCTTCGGATACACGAGCAATATTTTTGCTGCGTTTGTTACGCAATGGGTGATAACAGCATTGCGTTGCCGTCGCACAAGGTGGCTATACCTGCAATATTTCACCTGCAATATATGTCTTTATAACGCTTTTCATTGGCTGGTCAAGAAACGTGTCATTCATCAACCTTGACCTTCCTTGACCACATCTCCCAATTTTCGGCAATCATTGCCGAAAATCAAATGATTTGAAATTTCGGCAACGATTGCGCGCAGCTTTGCGTTGCCGTCGCAGAGCGTGATACACAAGCAATTTCTTTCTCGCGACGGCAATGTAACGATTTTACCACCATTGCATTGCCATCGCCAGAAGAGTACGGCCCGTGTATCCGTAGCTTTAGGGAATAAAAGCTGGCAAAGTGATTGTTCGAATGTGTACGGGACGGTGTCGTCAGATACTGTCCATAGTTGTGCCGATGATTTTCGATGAGGTACAGCTCTCCAATCAGAGGTAATGAGGTACGCTTTTGTCTTCTAAATATCCCTCATCAAACATGCAAGGGAAAATTAGAAGACAAAGAAATCCTTTGTTTTCAACCAAATATCCCCGTTTCCCGGGGAAATTTAGAAGACAAAAACGTATGCATGGGTAATGAGGGAAATACGTGATTAAACGTCCCTGTTGAAACAAAAGAAACCGAGGCTATCATGTGTTTATTCAATTTGAAATTTCGCTTTGACTTCGTCCCGGTCTCATGTAGACGGGGCCCAATGCCTAGGCTCAGATTCCAGCCGTTGTGTTCTCGGGCGAGTGGCGAGAACACAACGGCTGGAATCTGAGCCTACCCAATGCCGAACTGTTGCCCACTCACAACGGGGGGCGGAATATGAAATTTTACTTTGTGATCACGTCGAAAATTGCATATATTACATTGTTATGTATATTTTTTAATTCATAGTTGCTCTGCTTTCTCCATCTTGGACTTGACATTTTTCGAATAATTTTAAATTAATTATGCAATACACTGCTTACGTAACTGCATGTACGGCATTAGTGTTGATTGTCGCAGACTTATCTTTCCAACGATCTAATATGCTTTCCCAGTCATGGTAAACCCATTCTCTGTCTGACTGGGTCAAGTAGACATAATTGGATTTACGAAGTTGCTGACCACCATATGCCACCTATTTTTTTTTAATTGCAGATCAACCGATGTGTCCCGCCATGTGTGGGATACCTGGACATAGCCAGGGACTGAGGTCGGAGACTTGGTGGGGCAATAATAAGGGCATCAGACTAACCACAAATACGTTGCATGTGTCAGGAACTGAGTATAGCGGAAATTACAAACCGGATGTAGAGAGGACGTTGTGGATGAATATTGTGAGTGAGTGTGAGAGAAATATTTTCTTAAAATTCAACTTTTTGTGATTTGTTGTGAACACGTTCTAAGGGAGACATAGAAATTCACAACACGTGGCGCCTCAACGAACGGGATATTTGTGATTTTGTGATGTTTTAGCGTGTGTAAAAGTCGTAAACAAAGTGTGTTTACAAAAGCGATCGAATAAGGGAGAAACCGTGGAGATTACACAAAAAACCAAAACTAATTCAGCTTGGAAGAGCTAGAGATAAATCAGATAACGTTTTAAAAGGACTAAGGAGGTAACGAACATGTAATTCAAAGACATATCGAAACTTTAAAAGAATCGCTAAATGAAGTGAGCAAATGGCATAGAAGTGTTGAAGCCGAGAAATTTACACCGAAAGAAGAAGTGAGCGAGATCGATCAATGGAACAACGAAATAGAAAAGCATATAGAAGAAGCAGACCAAACAATATAATAGGGCCTCTCGAACAGTGGTTAAACGATACAGAAGTCAAACGTGAAGATCAGCAACGACAAGAGCGTATGAATTTCGAGCTTAAACTTGAAGAAGCAAACATTTGTAAACTGAAAGCAGAACACAAGAAAGTGTAAGCACCATCAAGTGACATCACAAACATCATATTCACCTGAGTACATAACATCAACACAGCTAAAAATCATGATTACTAGATTGCATTGATATCGAAGGACTCAGTTCCGAAATATCACATATTATTCGAAGAAGTATAATAGGGCCATAGCCATTTTGAAAGACAAATTTAATTTGGAAAAGATAGTGAGTTAGTCAAAGCATATGTGAAGGAAATACTCGATCTTGCTTATACCCCGTCATCAAACCCAAACAGGATTCTCGAATTTTATGAAAAGCTAGCATACTGTGTCCAGTCATTGGAAACCCTCAAAAAGCTGGATGCTGTAAATTGGACCGTTTCTATGACACTTGAAAAGTTATATACCAAACATTCGGGGGGATTACGTTCGCAATGATTCCAAGTGGGAAGTGTGGAATTACGTTTAACTTACTGAGGCCCTCAGACTGTGGACACGACGTAATCCAGTTGAAGCCAAGCAAGATGATCGAAACAAGCGAGAGCGGCGAAACCAGTACCATCTCCAGACACAGCAAGGGAAACCAAGCAAAAACGAGTTGTGTATATTGCAACACAGAGAATTTTGACATTATTAGACGAAAGAAAGAAATTGTTGGCAACGAAGAAACTGTGTTCCAACTGTACAGGGCCTTCTCATAGGGCATCAGAGTGTAGAAGTACATCAACTTGCAGGCATTGTAACAAAAGGCATCATGGTCAGAAGCAGTGATGACTGCCAGAAACCAAGAAGACCAGGAGGTTATATTTATTTGTTTATTTTCTTTGCCATCATACTTATACATTCATTGGCCGGGAAACCACAACAGCTATTGCCAATTACAGCGGCCCCAATAGTAGTATACAGAAACAATTTACAAGATATACTAAACACACACAATAAACAATATATACTTGAACAACATACAGTCATTACATTATGTCTAAAAGCAGCAGGTCAATAGAGATTTCATTAAACTTCGTACTTGTCGAAGTGGAGGGAATTAAAACCCATGCTCTTCTTGACACTGGAGCTGGTAGTTCCTATGCCTCGACCAAGATAATCAATGCTCTAAAGAAAAGACCCAAAGAAGTGAAGACAAAGAGAATCGAAATGATGCCGCCGCAATCGACAACTCGAATTGAGATATGTTCGGCAAACCTCAAGTCGCTGGACCACAAATTCGACATGAATGTTGAACTATCGAACGTAGACAAGCCAGAACTGATGATGGTCAAAAACCCACATTATGCAAAGTTACTGGAGAAGTATAGCCATCTTAGGGGTGCAAAACTTGATGATACTGACAATCGTCTAGAAATCCCAATCCATGGCTATAGCCATCGGCGCAAGCGATTATGTAATGATTAAAACCACAACAGCCAAAAGGGTGGGGTTACCAGGTTAACCAACTGCAGAGAAAACACTCCGTGGATGGATAGTCATGTACCCTGGAAGAGAGGAGGTTGACAGCCCAATTCTATTAACCAAATCCGTCAATACGGACTATGAACAGGAATTTATGGAGCAACTACGCAGAAATGACGCAGGATGGTATGAAGTCAAATTACCTTGGAAAGGGAACCATCCCCCTCTGCCCACCAATTGGAGCAGACAGATCAGTATGAAAAGTACGACGAGATTATCCGAGAACAACTACAACTCGGGATTATCGAAGCAGCACAATTTGAAGGATACTCAGAGATCGTTAAATTTTGCAAAAACGTGATCATGTATCATCAGATCAAACAAATAAATTATTTTGTGAATTTAAGGGGAAAATAAAAAATTACATGACCAAAGTCTAAATTCTGCGATTTAAACTGAATTTCGCGGAATTCCGCGGATTAAACTGAATTCCGCGATTTTTGGAAATCGCGGAATTCCAGAATGCCTGTTATAAACACGCCCCTTTGAATGTTTGCAAGCTGTATATTTCTGCCATGTATATTTTTGTCTGTGCTGCAACAGGTGATCTTTGATACATGTAGCTCAACTAATACATTTTATATGTTTCGTCTACATAGCCTTCTGCCGCCATATTCTACACATCAAACCTCAACTGTATCGCTACAATATGCATTCTATTTGCTCGTTATTCCACTCTATTTGTTCCTCAGTGCCATGTTTTTGCTTCAAGCTGCTCCATTTACTGTTCGGAGTACTTCGGATTTTCGGAACACCAATTGAATCGAACCGAAGTAGGGGCAGCCAGAACAGTCATGTGACCGTCAGAGCAGTCGTGTGACCATTATTGGTTCGATTTAATTAGTGTTCCGAAAATCCGGAGTACTCCGAACAGTAAATGGAGCAGCCCCGATTTTCGAGTAGGGGCAGCCAGAACAGAACACGGGATACTGCCCATTTTCGCGTGATTGGAAATGGAGGCGACAGATTTTGTGTATCCAATGCACACTGCATAGAGTGTTATTTTGAAGGATTAACTGCTATATATCGACATATACTTATAGCTACTTATTACATGGCTATGGAAGGGAAAGGGGAAAGGACTTCATGTAAAGTCGTCATATGCGTATCGCTGTTTTTTTACAAAGAGACGCTTGGGTACGAGGCAGCCAAAATCCAGAATGCTCACGAGCATGCTCAATTTACTCAAATCCAGTATACTCATGTCAAGCCTATTACCCCATATATATATATAATATCAAAATGCGATATACTAGCTCATGAGCATGCTCATATATACCAAAATATATAGTATAAACTATGCCTATTTTCGGCATACATTAATAAAGGAATACCGAATGGTTTTCCGTGCAGGATTGCGTGATCCATGCACGAGGGATGTCGCGAGACTTTCGGAAAGCGTAAAAATACTCGAGCCGCAGGCGAGTGTATTTTTACGCTTTCCGAAAGTCAAGCAACATCCCAAGTGCATGGATCACGCTATCCTGCTTGGAAAACCATTTGGTAATTGATTTATAAAATAACTACAGTGAAACAATGACATTTTGTGAATCCCGCGAAAATCCCGCGAAGGCATTTTAATTCCTCGTGCAGGATAGCCTGATCCTGCACGGCTATTGACCAATCAAATTGCGTGTTTCACTGTAGTTATTATATGATACATTATACGGTTACGGGTTACCAGTCATACCTTATATAACCACAAGCAGTGGCTATAAGGTATGCCGAAAACAGGCATCACCTGAGCACTTAGCAACATTATTTTTTTTTAGTTTTGAATGTTTATATAACGGTACATGTTCAATGTGTATTCTGTACTTTAAAAGTCCAGAGGATAATTTTGCAATCTGGAGTCTCTTAGAATAGGATTCCTGCATTCTGGGGAAAATTTAACTGTGGTTTCTATGCATATGTTACTTTATCTTATTTGGTGGCCTCCTTCAGCATGGGGCCCGGGGGCAATTGCCATAATCCTGGCCATTGTGCTGAGGAGTCACTTGCTGAAAACATCCAAATGGCCGGCTTGGGCTAGACGTTCAGGGGGGGGGGGGTGCGTCTCGTAAGCGTAGTGGCTTTCCTCGATTTTATTGTAAATTTTGAATACCAAGTTTAGTTTACAAAAATAATCACTGGAAAAATCTGATCACACTGTTCAGCGGTTTCACTTTCCATTTTCACTTTCCAAATAGGCTGTTGTCTAATTTTAGACAATTTAAATAGGTCATTTAGCTGCACATACAAGAACACACACACTGGAAACAAACCTTATGAATAATGAATGTTATGTTTGCAAGAAGAGATTTATACAATTAGGAAGTCTTAATTGGCACAAAAAGTAGCATTTGTTTTGCAATAGTTGCCACATGGAGATTATTCAACCATAAAACTTGCAAGAACATTTTGTTCAGGACAAAAACACAGGAAAGTACGCTTGTAACAAATGTAACAAGCGATTTATGAAATTGGTATAAATTAGGAAAAATCTGATCACACTGTTCAGCGGTTTCACTTTCCATTTCAGCATCATCTAGCGCACAAAGCCTTGAAACTTGAATTTTTAAAATACTCAGTCAGAAGTTTACAGTAAAAAAATCTTTTGTGGAGAGAAAAAGAAAACTTGAATCAAATCATGTCTGATCAGTGTGAAGAGAGGCATAAAAGAACACACACTATCGGCAAACCTAATCAATGCGATGTTACTAAGACGAAATTCAGACAAACAGTTCATTTTGCTGCTCATATGAAAAGAGCACACAATAGAGACAAGTCTTATGATTGTGATGTTTGTGAGAAGAGCTTTAAAAGATCATATAATTTGGTAAGACATAAGAGAACACACACAGGAGAAAAACCTTATGAATGTGATGTTTGCGAGAAGAAATTTAGAGAATCAGGCAGTTTGGTAAAACATAAGAGAACACACACAGGAGAAAACCGTTATGAATGTGAAGTTTGTAAGAAGAAATTTAGACAATCAAGTAATTTAGCTGTACACAAAAGAACACACACAGGAGAAAAACCTTACGAATGTGATGTTTGTGAGAAGAAATTTAGACAATCGGGCAATTTGGTAAAACATAAGAGAACACACACTAAAGACAAACCTTATGAATGTGACGTTTGTAAGAAGAGATTTATACAATCAGGTAGTTTAACAAAACATAAAAGAACACACACTGGAGACAAACCTTATGAATGTGATGTTTGCGAGAAGAAATTTAGAGAATCAGGCAATTTGGTAAAACATAAGAGAACACACACAGGAGTAAACCGTTATGAATGTGAAGTTTGTAAGAAGAAATTTAGACAATCAAGTAATTTAGCTGTGCACAAAAGAACACACACAGGAGAAAAACCTTACGAATGTGATGTTTGTGAGAAGAAATTTAGAGAATCAAGCAATTTGGTAAAACATAAGAGAACACACACTGGAGACAAACCTTATGAATGTGACGTCTGTAAGAAGAGATTTAGCCAATCAGGTAATTTAACTATACATAAAAGAACACACACTGAAGACAAACCTTATGAATGTGACGTTTGTAAGAAGAGATTTATGCATTTAAGCGGTCTTAATTCGCACCAAAAGGAACATTTGTTTTGCAATAGTTGCCACATGGAGATTATTGAACCACAAAATTTGCAAGAACATTTTGTTGAGGATAAAAGCACTGGAAAGTACGCTTGTAACAAATGTAACAGGCCATTTTCTAATTTTATGAAATTGGTTAAACATGTAGCAAGACAACATGGAAATGATGGGATCTATCAATGTGGTTTATGTCAAGAACTTGAATCAAAAGAACCAACTGGTGTTGGATATGTTTGTTGTGTTTGTGATGTTGTGTTTGATGTTCCCAGAGATCTTGAAGATCACATGGCCACCCATGACTTAATCTGAATATTGTTGCTGGCTTTGAATATGCAGCGAGTTTGTGCATATATAGGACATTCAGATTCAAGTTTAGTTTTATATGAAAAATACATTGGCATTTGTAGCAGACTAGTTGTTTATATTTCTCATGCCTATTATTTTACTGTTGTGTGAGCTGATGTTAATTACTAGATAGGGAGAGATCATTATGTTCCTGGTGTTAAAAATATGAAATATGAAAAGTAGAATGTATGGAGGGAAAATTTGGCTTTTAGCCAGGCAGAAATATTGTTATGTTAATATCTTAACCTATACATAATCTCTATACAGTTACATTAAAGCGGTCAGTGCAGAAACGCGTGTGAATAAAGCTCCATACAATTATATCAAAGTGTTCAGTCTCTGCGCTCTGGCGTTCAGTGCACGAATTCCATGGCCACGAAACATACGGAAGCGAGAACGCTTTGATAGAACTGTACGGACTTATTTACGCGCGTTTCTGTATAGAGATAATGTATGGGTTATATTGATATAATAGGTCATAGTCGGTTCCCCTGTTATTGTTGTAGGTAATTTTAATATTTATTTTAGGGGTGTGGGTAGCCTGCTCGCAGGCCTTTGTCAGGCAGAGGCTGCACGAGCAGGCTAGGGTGTGGGTAATTATCAGATTTGGGACAATCAGTTTGGTGTTGTGTTTGTTGTGTTGAACACTTGATTGAGATTGATATTGATATAATTTATTAAATTTGATGTATAATGCACCAGTCAAAGTAAACTCCGACCCCACCCCGGAGAAAGAGGGGACTTGGTGGGGATTTAGTGGCTTTTTGTCATCGAATTATGTCCCAACCATGTCGGGAATTTGTTGGTTTTGTCATTCTGCCGAATTACGCCGGGAAGATAATGGGGATAGTTAGGGGATTGTCTGCGGCCATTTTGTACTATTTTGTACGGTTTTGTCCAATGGAATCCCCTGGTTCTACCATTTTATACCATGTGACAAAGGTCAAGATGGCGTGCTCGCAAGGAAGTGAAATCGAGAGGAATTTTATAAATATATTATTAATTTAAGTTCTTTGTACGATTGCATAGCGATAAAATATATAATAGTTTTGTTTGTGGAAACACCACGTAAATTTATTACTGCAAAGCTTTCGATCCGTAAGCCCGTATCTTCATCAGTGCTAATAATATGTTATTATTAGCACTAATATATAAATTAATATAATATTAATATCATATTATCAGCACTGATGAAGATCCGGGCTTACGGATCGAAGGCTTTGCAGTCTATTGTTGTGGAAAGCTCGACATTTGTTTTTTTTATATATTAATATGTTTTTATTGGGGGTTTTTTTGAGTTTTGGAACAAAATATTAATATTTTAAAATGTGACGATTCATGCGGCGGCCCAGAGATTGTCGAGGAGATATTATGCAGGAGATAAATTCGCTCACACGACTTACAATTTCCCCCGGGCATTTTTTGTCTTTTGCTAGAAAATTTTGTCCCATGTTGTGGGGCATTTGTCTGTTTTGGTACGGTATTCAAAGCCAATCCCCACCTATATCCCGGTGTGGGGGGGGGGGGGTCGGAGTTTACCTTGACTGGTGCATAACGGAAGAAAACAGAAACAATTAAATTTATAATAAACAGAGTACTAAATATTATGTACATGCTGTAGGTGTGGCAACCTATTTTCGGCGATGTCGCAAATAGTCTGCTACGATAGCAGACTGATCTCTGCCGACCCCGCCTGCAGCGGCGGAGAAACAGTCTGCGATCAATCAACACTAAGGCCCCGTTTACATGAGACCGGAGCGAAGTCAAACCGGGACCATTTCGTTTCGGTCATAGTATTATTTATATTAGATGTTTACATGAGACCGGGACGAAAATAACTCAGACTGTTCTCAAGTCATTCCCTTCCGCCTGCTGGACCGAGCCGATTGACTTCAGACCGGCATGAATTCAGACCGGGATGAATGTAAACACAAATACATTTCAGACCGATCTCGGCTGTAACCTTGACATTGGAAAACATATGTTAACAAAAGCCATCTAAAGGAGAAAGTTGCCTGGCAAGGGGAATAAATTGAAATTTTGTGACTTTCGTACCGTACTACCGGTCTCATGCTGACAATTATTATAAGTAAACGCATGATTTGAGGGAAATTAATAATTAAATGTCCCCGCAAACCGAAGGAGGTTTAGTGAAAGCGCCCGAGGGACTTTTACTAAACCTCCAGGTCATTTAATCACTAATTTCGCTCAAAGCATGCGTTTAGTCTGTAAATACATGGTGGTAGCCGAGGGAATCGCGCGTGGTGTGTTGCCTGTTTTTGATTGTCTTATGAGTACGAACACTTTTCATATATACGCACGCGCAGAAACACATCTCCGTGTTCATTCGTTTTAGGCATGCGCATAAACGGAATTTCTCCCACATTTAAAATGTTCAAGATTAAGCTTCGGATACACGAGCAATATTTTTGCTGCGTTGGTTACGCAATGGGTGATAACAGCATTGCGTTGCCGTTGTAGAGAAGCGCCTTTTAGTGTATGTGTTTTAGCGCCTTTTAGTGCATGTGTTTTTGAGGAGAGAGAACCGCATGGAAGTGAGATATTGTAGAGTTAAGGTGAAATTGTGAGATGTATTTCGTGGAGATTAATCGTTGTTGAGTATTGTAATTAAAGAAATAATTAAAGAGTTTTGGTATTATCTTAGTCCAGTAGTGCTTCGTGACACGTACTACTGGGACCAGGAACTGGTCACCACGTTGATCCATCGTTTTAGAACTCAAACTTTTGCATTGTTTCAAACCCTTAATGTTGGTTCGGCGAGGCATTTTTTTAATATGTTAAAATTTATCTAAATGATCGAACGAAACACTACTCAATTAAATGGTTCTTGAAGTGGAGGCGTTTTATATTGGCAGCGTTAATTCGCTTAAATGTTTTGCTTTAAGGACGATCCACACTATACACAACTTTTGCCTAAAACTGTCGCATGCAACCTGCTTAGAACTTGAGTTTTACAGTGTAAATAAAGCACACAACCCGCCTATTGTCGACAACGTAAGCGAGTTGCGTGCTTGATTTACACATTGAATCTCAAGTTGTAAGCAGGTTGCATGCGACAGTTTTAGACAAAAGTTGTGTAGTGTAAATTGTCCTTTATACATGCGAATTGCGTGTACTTTGATGTAATTAATAGTGTGCGTAGTATTATGGGCAAACAATTGACGCTTTTAAATATTTGTTCAGTGAAAATGCTTAGGTGTGTGAAGAATTCATTTTGGCTAATACCTTATCTATTCTTTCGTTTTAAATAGAAGCTTGTCAGTCTGTCGAGATCCTCAGAGCCCCCCCTCCTCTAAAGACAAAGTCAGTTCGCTATACGTCCCTGGCCGAGATCTAAGAATTTAAGACGGCGCCGTCAGGACGATGGCGAAACAAACTGTTTGAAATAAATGACTGTATGGAAATCTTGTCTTGTGTTTACCTTTGTATGAATTTAAAATAGTTTCGAACGAGTAAAACAGAGCTTTAACCTTCAGAGCAATTTTGATCAACTCTGCTAGAAAAACTACCTGTCACGGCTGGAAATGCTAGGACGTGAAAATATGCATTTTGCCGTCGTCAACAGAGCTTGGACGACGTCTACAACTCCTGCTATATACTTTTAATTATTCACTTCTTTTGTGCTATAGGATTAATGTCATTGTATTGATAGCCGACGTCCTGACGTCTTAAGGCCTGATTCCACGAGCGCTTTTTCTTGGCGAAATGCGAAATATTTCGCCTGTTTCTTTTGAATTGCGACTACTCGAATAAATTATTTCTACTTGATTGCCCACAATTCAAAAAAAACAGGCGAAATATTTCGCATTTCGCCGAGAAAAAGCGCCCGTGGAATCAGGCCTTTACATGCGTAAACTCCCTAATTTGCAGGTTGATGCATGTTTGTTGTCAGGTCAACACATCGTAATTATTTTGTGGCAACCATGTGGGAAGTACTTGGTTTGTGGTTTATTTGAAAGGCATATAGGTACATTACTACCAAGAAAAGTTCCCAAGCAAAAAACTTGCCCAACACCGAGAAAATGGGTGATCAATGATTATTCTCTATTAAATTGTATTACAGCAAAAAATGGGAAATTTTGTATTCAATTACAATAAAAATGACTTGCATCATAGGAAAACGTATAAAAAACTGCATATAAGACATTTAAATAGTTTTTTGATTCTTCAAGTATTCTTTGAGTTATTGCTGTTTTAAATATGGAAATTGAAACAAAATGTCGCAATAAGGACTGGGTACTAGATCAAAAACGCGTTCTTGACAGCGTATAACTCGAAAACAAACTTTGACATGGTATAAATCGAAAACTTGTAAGCTTTCTGGTGATACAAGTCATTTTTGCTGTAATTGAATACAAAATTTTACATTTTCTTGCTGTAATACAATTTCATAGAGGATAATCACTGATCACCCATTTTCTCGGTAATGGGCAAGTTTTTTGGTTGGTAACTTTTTTTGGTAATTGAGCATCTACGGCACTATACATTGAACGACAGAAACTCTATTCCCCAGGGGGTTGCCACGAAATTGCTTTTCTAGGCACTTTTTCGCACAATGGCCCACGGCCTAATAGATTATTGAGGGATTCCAACATATTTTGTTATTGCAAATCTCATTCGCTTGAAAATTTCAGTGGTCTAAACCTTTTCGCTCAAATTTAATGCTGAATTGTTAAAGTAAAAGTATGGTAAAAGGGATGTTAGTTTTTCAAAAAATACAACGCTAAAAAGCGTGCTTCTTGAACATCCTAATGTACCAGTTCTTATAGACTCATTAAGATATCAATTTGTTCACCGACAATTATGCAATCCAAAGAAAGATTATTGCATCGCTATACGTTAGTTTATTAAACAGTACATAATGTAATCATGCATGCAATAATAGACTGGTTATTATGCTTGGGCTGAGACGTATAATTAACAAACAGCATGGGTCAGCCGGATTTGTGTCCACCGTAAATAGGCTAATGAGTATAAAAGGCGGAAAGATCGTGCGAAATGGCAGGCGGAATGAGTGCGGAATGGGTTAGGGGTCAGGATTAGGAGTAGGGTTAAAAATGTCAGTCATTGCGCACGTGGACATTCACCGACCGCTTATATATGTTGGTCAGCCAGATTCTACAGTAAAGTATCTATTTACTTGATTAATTAATTTATTAAATAATAACTTTATGTACACTATACACGGTATAAACAACAGCATAGGTTAAATACAAGTTGTATTGTTCTAACAGTTCTTTTAATTTATTACAACTTCTACCCTTCCCAACTTTCTATCCATAAATATGCTCACTTGCAGGAACAAGAAAATTGAATCTTATTGATTGATGACAATAGCAGACTGTCATATATTATGAAGATGCTGCCACTTGACCGTAGCAGATGCTAGGGGCAGGGTGAGAGAAGGGCGGGGGGGGGGGCGCACCAGCACCTGCTGGCGGCATGGTGAAACCCCCATTTATAAATATTATTGGTGAATTAAATATTTTGGTTTTACTGTATCTGCTACATTCTGTAAATAACATGCAAATTTAAAGTTTTTAACAACTTAAAATAAACTGTGCTCATACAATCCAGCCCGTATAGCTATATTCTTTTTGAATACAAAAAAGATATGTGTTGATTCCGTTGCAGGTTTCAGCTTTACCACATAATATACGATGTTTTATTCAACTTGTGAGCGTGCGAAAAATAGGGAGCTAACCACATGGTGGATTCTCAGAACGGTTTAATACTTTAACTGTATGCCATATAAATTTATAGAAAGGCTTGAAAATATAATTTCGAGCATGAAACAAGGTAACTGTATATAGGTGTTGAGAATCATGACAACTAGCATAAAGTTTCCTACTTCTTAAGGCCGAGACACACCGGACGCGAATACGCGATTCGACAACGCGGCGCGAGTTTCTGAAAGTTAATAAAACAGTCAATGAAAGGAAATTTTAATAATCAAAATAAATCAAAATGTTATAGCGCTTCTAAATATTTGAAAAACTTAAACCAGGTTCAAAGTTATCGGTCAGTGAACATTACCAAACGTTTACCAAACAATTCATGGATTTAACACCATTGGATAAAACATGTGCATGTTTAACCTTCCATATTTCATGACTGAGCAACAAAAGGCTGAAATTTCAACACCGCCGTTTGAATGGCCCAGTCTCTAAGTAATTAAACCAGTCTCTAAGTAAACTAGTCTCTAAGTAACAAGTGATATATAGGTAATGCGTTCTTACATACACAAGCTGTTTGATTTATAACACGATGTAATCTCTTAATGAAATATGGAATCATCGAGCTGATACGGCGGGGTGTCGTCATTGATAAATGAGCCAGATAATGGTGGTGTGACAGCGCTAGAATCTGAACTGTGACTGGAACTTGATCTTGATTTTGCCAATTCTGTGAAACCATCATCTAACCATTTCTCATCAGCTTGATGGTCATTTAACGGGTTATGTTTTTTCACCCGACATTGAGTGTGTTTATTTAAATCGCTTGTGGGAAATCCAGCTTTGAGGTCACAAGTGCTTCGGGTTCCGGTTTCGAATACATCACAATTCTGAGCTTGGTTTTGCGTTTTAACTTCGCCGGCTTTGGTGAACATGTCCTCGTTATTTGTCGCTACAGTAATCGGCCTGGCCATTTTGAACATCTCAGTGAATGTCTGACAAATACGTCGTGCGTTGCATTTGTTTTTACAAAGTAAAACATGTCCTTTCAGATTCTTGTCTTGTCTTGTCCTTGCTACAATGATTAAATATTTCGAGTACCTCCAAGTGTTTGTTGTTGTAACATGACTGATGTTATATGCCTCGAAACTATGCTGTATGTTGCTCTCACTATCGCAAATCATAACACCATTTCTATTCACCATCAATTTAAACAGCAACCTCTCGTCGCTCTCTCGGTATTTACTGACAACACAATTGAAGAAATATTCTATTTGTGTATCAGATGCCATTTCGTAATCTTCGGTGATGGCGGTACATCCAATGTACTGAACGAAGAATTCATTCCCATCTAGTATATCATTGCGATCAGATTCATTTAGGCTATGAAAACGGTATCTCCAAACATTGGCAAGTGTTGTTGCCATAGTCATTACTGCATCAATATGACAATAATGCGTGATAACCATGCGCGTTTATGTACGTTATAACTATATTCTAGACAGCAGGAGGGTAAATAAATTAGCAGTCTATTGTTTAATTCTATGAAATGCTACACCCGACTGAAAGAACTTTGTAAGTGTCGGACAGGATATTGCCATGAACTTAAATATGCTAACAAATTGTCAAATAGTAAAAGAACCCAAAATCATGACGCCGATATATTTACACTGGTTAATCAAACATCAGTACCACACGTATTTCTTACCCAACAGACCAAGTATGCCATAAAATAATTTCTCTTCATTATAATTGCACCTAAGCATGTAAACGAACGTATATGCTATAGTCATGCAAATTTAATAATTTAAAATGATTGTACAATCAATATGCTTATAGACAATAGTATATAGAGATTTTTTCAGATTTGATATTTCCCATCACGTTGGAATGTTTGGTATGAGCTTGGTTTGTTGTACAACAGCATCGTTTTTTGTTTTTATTAGCTTCGCCAACTAGGGCAGGGTCACCACAACAGCATATGTCAAGTCGAGGCAAACAAAAACTATATAGGACAAGATTTTTCCACGCAATAACCAACTCGCAAGCTCGATAGACAATCAAAATATTGCTGCATGCGTGAACAAATTTCTGTTCGCATGACATAGAGATAACATTAGTTAACCTGACGTAATGATTATATGCTGAAACATGCAGTGTCGGTGAAAAATAAGGGATGTCAACGAAACTCATATGACGTTGTTACCTATCGAAATCTGTATAATTGCAGGAACTTATACTTTATAAGTTCCTTCACATCCTTGCCAGCTTGCATATACTTATAAATATATTTATAACTTTTTATATATAAAATTTTTTGTAGTAAAATTTAAAAAAACCCAAAATTGAAAAATTGACCCCAGAACGACGCTTTTGGGGGTTGCTTGGTGAAGTCGGTTCAACTGAACATACGTGATATTTCGCTTTTGATCAGATTGTACCGCCATAAGGTTAATGTCTATGACTATTCTGTGGGCGTATAGAAATGGAATGTGCTGAATGATAAATAATTATAGGAAGGTCAACCAAAGTCATTATTTCATTTGTTTTATTTCTTTTTAATCATAGCCATAACATTTATACAATTGCACGTCTTGGTGAATGATTAAATATTGACCTTTCGCTTGGCAATTGTAATAAACGGTAAACGAAGAATGTTCTCAAATGCAGCCACGAAGCAGGACTTGCAGTAATTCGACATCTAAACGCGACCTTTAATGTGCTGAAACAGTGTCAGTGAAAAATAAGGAAGGTCAACGAAACTCATATGACGTTACTGCCTATAGAAATTTGTCTAATTGCAGGAACGTATTATACTTTATAAGTTCCTTCACATCCTTGCGAGCTTGCATATATTTATAAGTATATTTATAACTTATATAACAAAGAATTCACAAAGGTCAAAACGACTCCAAGAGAGTCGTAAAAATCGACCCCTGAACGACTCTGAGCTATGGTGAAGTTAGCCTGCTCGCAGGCCGTTGTCAGGCAGAGGCTGCATGGGAGGAACGGCCTGCGACCTTTATTAGTAGAAAGTCGATTTATGCGTACGGAGCGTACGCAAAATTCCCATTGGTCAGAAGTGCCCCATGAGTTAATATCGTGCAAATATTTAACTCGTACGACATTTCGCAATGTAATTTTAAAGCTGGCATTCAAACAGTGGCGTATAAAACCATGACTTTGTTTATCTCTTCGAAGAAGTAACTGAATGTATTTGAGAAACCTTTCAATTTAAATTAACGTTGAAGGATGAGCGAAGGTTAGCAATATTAACTGTACTTCCAACGGGATTTGATAAAAGTTTACATGTAATATACCCATATACTTTGTGTTCGTCAGCTATAATAATAAACCTTTTCCAAAGAAGTACAAGGGAAAACTTCGATGTATGCCTTGCTGATCTTTGCAGAGAGAGTAAAATAAGTCTAGTTCAGGCTGACAATTTATCTAACTGCGTTTGCATCACTTGCGGTTTCAAACGTTGAACAACTTAAGGTTTATAGCCCAGCGAGACGTTCGTTGAGACACAGGCAGTGAACCCCTGTGAATCAGCTAGTATAAAGCAGTTGATTGTCAAATGCCTCCGAACATTTCTCCCAAATACTTCCCTGTCAACCCAAGGCTTTCTGCCTAAACAATCTGGTCTTGAATAAGTCAAGACAATGGGCAAATTATTAAAACAGACGCCGTCGAGGAAAGTCGTTGTTAGAACACCTGGCCAATTTGAAATTACACGTGGAAATTTTGCAATAGTCGTTTGCGTGTTTTTTGACCGAAGTCCGCTCTCTCTTTGAGACTTTATTTTTGGGAGTCTCAACTAGTGACATATATTATTACAACAAGAGCTTTTTACAAAAAAATGTAGTTATTAAACACGGCAGAATCGATGCCACGGCCACGGGTTTTCAAATTGTCTATTGAGTTAATTGTATTATTGAGCAAATGACAGACTTCACGCAATAATGATTAATGTTGTTTTTTAGCCTGCTTTGTTCGACACTTTTAATAAATAGTGTTTGTTACTTTGTTCAAAACCTAAATACGTTTCCTTAAATCTTACAGTTATATTTTGGATATAAATATATAAAATACATTAACTAATAGAGAGTAAAATTTTACGTCTCTGTAGTTGCTGCCGAGCGAAGCGATGGCAGCCACCTATTCTTGACAACGTTTACAGTTTTTACTCGTGCCAGATCCCCGCGCGACTTATGTATTTTAGCCAAAGCATTTGAGATTTGTTTGTCGTTCGTTCGTTCGATCATTCGGGTCGCATTTTCTGACGTCACAGAATTCGAATGACGTTGTGTACAAATTTATATACGCAGGAAGTCTACGATGACAATCCGATCACTTCCGAAAGCTGCGTTCGGTGCACCGTAGCTTCATAGGAGCTATGACATTTAATTTTGACATGACCATATGGCAATGTCGCATACTTTTCCATTGCACGAGGCTTATTTCACAATATTACTAATTGATTTGGGAGGAAAACTATCAAAAGAATCATATTTTTGAAGGTATGTTGATAAAAGTAGTTATTTGAACGTTTGAATACTTTCATTTATATATGTAAATGAACGTGATAGTCTGTTTTTATATTAAAAATACATTATAAAAATTCGAATTCTATCTCCTCTAGGTGTATATTTTGTTGTGTGTTCGTGGCGATTATTTGATCAAATCAAGTCAAAATTAAAGGAGCCG